TTAAAGGAATTTTTTAAAGTGAGATTTAGTGAAATTGCTTCTCAGACTCGTCATGATTTACAATTGCTTTCAGGCAATTCTGTCCCAAAAGAGCCAAATTGACTCCTGTTCTTTGTTTCTTCATTTACCATCTTCATAGTTTTTCTTATTATTTTTCTTTTTCCGCTTACTATTAAGAATTAAATAACTTGCATATTTGGTTATTACTAACAAACTGGAATCTAAAGGCTGTCTGATTTTCAGTAGTTCAAGAAGCAGAATTAGATACAGGTTTCATCCTGGATGAACAAGCTTTTGCCAGGCACTAATGTCTGTCACTGAATGACAGTGGTTGAACTTCCTAAACATAGGAGAGAAATCAACAACTGTATGGCAATGATGTGAAGGGCTCAGTTCATTAAACGGATACCTTAGGCTAACATCATAAAGAGCAGATTGGAGTTAGATGTTCATTTTTTTGCTCTCCCCAAAAACCTTCTTCAGGGAGAGTTCACTTACCTCTAAGACTTGAGAAAAAAACAGGTTGGCAAATATAACTCTTTCTGACTGCAATGGAGACACCAAAGTGATCCAGATGAGCTTGAGCTGTGTGGGAATATGTGTAGCACCCAAGCACGGGGCCAGCAAATACGGGGAGGTTGTCTCCTTGCAGAGATTCTGTCTGACTGAAAGCTGTGTATGAGCTGGTCTGCTGCTGCAAGTCAGGCATTTTTCGCTCTCAGGTTTCCCCTTGAGCTTTCCCTCAAAAATGAAAATGGAAGGAAATATCCTTGAATTCACAGAGTGGGGTGTGTATATGTGTGTATATATATACATATATATATATATACATATACATATAAATATCATGTATATAATACATGCTTTGTACAAATACAGCCATAATTATATTTTTCTGGAGAGTTAATATAAACTGTGCATGTGATAAGAACATGTAGGGGCTACATTATACGGGCAACTAACAGGCTGTGTTCTGAAAAGCTGAAAGTCTTCTTTGGCATTAGGAATCTAACTTTGACCAGATGTTGATGGTAAATGAGTTGCAATGAAATTGCCCAGTGGGAAACAATTTAGCTTTTAAAATGTCATAACATAAACCTTGATTTAGTGTATTGCATAAAAGTGGGCATGACTTGTATTTGATACATCCTCTTTTTTTATTAGTACTCTGCAAAGTTAAGTTCTTAAGGTGTCTATAGTGTGTGTGCATGTGTATATTTCAGCTTTGTGTTTCCTCAGTCCCAGCTTTTTCTACTAGCACCACAGTTCATGCGTGCACAGAACAGTTTATCTTGGAAGGGACCTGGAGATTACCCAATGCAGGACTGACTTAAAAAGGTTTGTCAGGGTCTTGCCCGTTTGAGCCTATGATGGAATGTAGCTGTCTAGCTCTTCCCACTCATTACTCAAAAGGTCTAAGTTAAAGAGTTTACCGAGGAAGCAGATATTGAAGATTTTACGTAAGAACTGCATGCAGAAATACATTCTCGCTCATGCTTGCATATACGTAATATATTACACTCAACTGCATGGAGCAGGGAACTATTATTATGACCACACTTGTGAAAATATTTGAATTTAGCTTACTTTACATAAACACTCTGGCCTTAAACTCACATTGTATGGTAACATGTATAGCACAGCAGTCCTGTTCTCAGGACAAATGCTTGAAGGGGTTTTCAGTGTTTCCATTCCAACCCCCCAAGCAGAGGGTCCTACCTCGGCCCTAAAATTTTTCTCAGAAATATTTTCTCAAAAGAATATTCTATGAAAAACCAAGTGTTTAAAGGGGTAAAACTTGTTACCCTCCCTCACCACCCCAATAATTCAGTGGAGGGGAGAGTTTGCATATGCCTCCTGTGCTCACCCTAGCTGGTTGGTTGGCCATCAGCAGGGCAGACCCAGGGAACACTGAAGAGCAAACCTAGTGCTTGAGACCCGTTCCGTATGGGTAGGGTCCTGGCTGAGATGTTGTAGAGAAGCTGAAAAGCTGTTTGGAAATCTAGCCATGAGAAGCACGCTACAAAACCAGTACTAATACAAGTCATATGGTTGAGACTTCATTTCATTTAGCTGTTTAGAAAACAGAAGCACTGGCCAGTATGTGCCTGCAATGCTCGATTTCTTCCCCCACCTTCCCCATTTATTAGTTCCTGCTCCCGGCATGCTTTCTGCTGCGTTGTGGTCCAGCTGATTTAACACCCATAGTTCCTGAAGCTTTTGCATCACTCATGTTTAAATCTCACCTTGAGAAGCCCACAGATATGTGCTCTTCTAGCTGACATTGCTTCACACAAATCCAGCTGCCAACTGAGAAGTGAAAAGTGGCCAACTGACCCTTGCATCTGATACAGCCTTTCGCGTCAAGGACCAAAGGTAACAGCAAGATATTTTGGGACCAGGACAGGATGTTAGCCTAGTGTGTCCTTCCCCAAGCACAAACCAAGTTCAAAAGGATTGTACTGACGGAGAAGATCCTGTGGACATGTGGACAACCCTCCAGTGCGTGGCCCTTTGTGGCAACAGCCAGGGACCAAACACTTTCCTAGGTTCTGGGAAGCCAGGTAAGAGTGCCATGCCTTGCTCACATCTGGCACTTGACCACAGTGCCAGAGGTCTATGGCTTATAAGGAATTATAAAAAAAAATAAAATAAAAATTTGGTATTTAAATAGACAAGATCAGAGAGACAGAGAACAATATTAAATAATGGATGTATTTTATTAATTAATTCAGACTTCAGACAGACACCACGTGTGCGAATTAAACATTAGTACACACATAGACTTTATTTTCATGTTTATGGCAACTGAAATTCTGGGATTTTGAATTTTAGAATACAAATGAATGAAACCAGTTGCATGTAGTCTGAAGTATTTCAATGTCATTACAGAAGTAATTCAGCAGTAGCAAAGTATTGAGCCACAACAAAAACCAGATCTTCTGATAATAAACAACCACATGATGCTTAAAACACTTTAGCTCAGCGCTTTGCATCATGACAGAGGACCAAAAATACAACAGCTTGAGAGATTTTTGCAGCTAGTTAACTAGATGGGGTAGGGGAAAAGCTATGATAAAAGAAGAGAGGGCCATTTCACCTTTCTTGAATTACTGAAGCTATCTAAACAAAATAACAAATCCTATGCACATGATAGTAGAAGAAGTACAGGATGTTTGTCAACTCTCAACTAAATGAGCTGGAATGGTGTTTTAGGGAGAGACTGATGGGTCAGATAAACAATCTCAGTGTGCGTGGCCTGAAGGGATAATATGGAGATGACACTATAGAAGGTATCAAGCAGCAGTTTGAGGTGACTTATAAAACTTTTTGCTTAGACATCCACATCCATATGGAAGCTTCACAAGGCAGTCAGCTAGTGCCACATTTAGTATCCCACACTGAATGGGGACAATTCCAGTGCACCTGCAGGGGAACCACAGTGACCCCTAGTAAGCCACAATTATGGTTTTCTGAATTCCTCTGGACAAGATGGAGGGAAAACCTTATTTCTTTTTCTTGTAAGGATGCTACTAGGAAAACTGTGTCCAGAAACCACACGTATTTTCTTCCAAAACTCTTTGGCTATTTCTTGGCTAGATAGCTCAGTGTGTGCAAGACTAATTTACAATGCTGCTATGTAGAGCATGGTTGTATTTTGTTGCACAGTTTAATAGACTACATCAGAAATCTCTCTTCCCAGCAGCTGTGAGAACCACACCTGAATCTTACTTTCTACTTATCATGTTTGTCATGTAGTCCCAGTGTAATTAAAGCATCCACAGACTAGGCCATTATGAGCTCTATCGTCTAATAAGGATAAAATATCAAATTGCTCTAGTTTTTACATTTATCTTCACAGCAATCCCCGTGGTGTTGGAGGTCCACGCTATGAATAGCACTAAAATGCAGTCAACAGACATTTCCGTGCTACTCCAGGGAAGGCACAGATAATTAATTGTCCCCAGTTTGCTCTACTGTCTGTAATTATAGTCTTGAGTTTATAAATAACGAAGCATGATTTTAAAAACCAAAACAAACCCCTCAATTACTACAGAGTTCCTGAGATAATTAAGTCTCCAAATGTGGCTCTGCAGAAGGGAACCAAAACTACACTGCAAAAGCCCATAACATGCAGATGTGCGTAAGCAGAGCAAAGCGACAGGATGGAAAGCGTCATCAGGAAAATAAACTCTCTCATCATTATTTCACTGCTTTTTACCTAAAAAAACAATGGCCTATTGTCTCGATTCACCCTATTGTTCTGCTGCATTTTTTGTTATTGAAGGAACCAACAGTCAGTGAGTGAGAGTCTCCTGAGGAGTAGCAGCTTGGAAAGCTAAATGCAGTATCCTATGCCTAAGGCTTGTTTTGCTGCAGGTTTAGGAAAAACCAGGAAAGGTAAGTTACTGAGGTAAATTTAAGAACACAGTTTACAATTCAGCTTGTTTCAATACCCCCTCCAAATAAAAATACCCTCCAGTTTTGCAAGTATGGTGGTTAAAACCTGCAACAAAGCTGTGCCCTGTCGCATCCCTGCTTGATGGACGTTCCTCTGTTGTTACTGGGCGTTGTGTACTGTTAGGGAAAAACTCTAGTCGGGAGCCAGCACAGCAGGAGGCTTCATTAGCCATGAACGGGAGCAAAACAGTGCTTCAGAAGGAGTGGTGCCCCCTCTGAACAATCAGCGTCACCACAACAACCACATAATCAGCTGGACAGCCTGTAACACATGCTTTGGATAAAGACAGACCTATGGATACAAGACAGCTATGGCTTAAGTGTTTCAAAAGATCTTTGCCCAACAGGGAAACAAATTATATATTAAAAAACTTTTACAAAATACATTCTCTGTTCTTTCTCTGTTTAATATCTTCCTTGCTTGAAGCTTGGCTGCTGCCCAAATGCATCCAGAGCAACGTTTGATGATAACTCAAAAATGTGCAGTTAATCTGTGTGTAGCTTCAACTCCTGAATGCCAGGAGCAAAAGCGTACAGCATAATCAGGTTTACACAAGTTTTTAGATAGCCAAGATAAAGGAAATACTTCTGTAAACTCTTCTGAGAAAAGAGGAAAACTCCAAGTTGAAAAACTGCTCATTTTCAATGTCATTTTATCCCTAAACAAGCATAAACCCCAGTAGAGAGTTTCCTGCATGACAGCGAGTAAAACTTAAGCTTGCTGGTCTTTTTTTGTGATTTTTTTTTTTTTAACCCTAAAGCTATATTTCATCATAAAAACTAGTTTGAAGAAAGAGTAAACTTTTGCTCTTTGGTCTATCTTGACATTCCGCCAGAGACACATAACAGGAATATTTCAGATTCACTTTTGTCTCCTACTTGCAGGAAACAGGAAAGTTGCAGTTCTTAATTTTCAGGCTTCTGAAATGAGAAAGATAAAGAATTTATACACTGAGACAAGACATCTTTGCTTTCTTTAAAGTAAAAAAAAAAAAAATAGAAGCATCACAATCTAAAAGCAGTGGTTCAGTGAAATTGAATATTTTTCCCTTAACCATAATAAACAAAAATGGTTAGTTATGCCACATGCACCTCCTATTTATTATCTGTGTAACCCTGCTAGGTGAGAAACAAAAATCTGTACTCATATTTCAGTATGATACGGACTTCAGACTGTAGCAATTGCTGAAACTCAGTACTGGGGAATGAGACTAAAAGAAGTCATTGGTTTTGTTTCATAGAATCCAGTTTTGTGGATGTAAAGGAAAGGTCTTCAAACACTTTCTATCCATTTCTGAATAAGATAAGATGAAAACATCTAACAAATAGTTTGCAATTTTAGAATATCAGTTTTGGTGTCCTACTCTCATGGACTTCTTTATGGCCATGAAGATGCCCACAGGTAAAGCTCTGGGATTCCTCTTACAAAGTATCCATGATGTGTATTAAAATAATTCTGATGCTCTGCCATTTTTGAAGAGGAGAAGAGTGCAAGAATATATCTGTCACTGTGGACAGTGGCGGTCTTACTAAGTCAAAACCAACAAAGGAGAACAACAGCCCACCTCCGACTCCCCCATCAACCCAAATACTCAAAGCCAAACTGGCCTAGTAAGAGCAGGCATCTATCGCCACTGATTAAATCAAGGGATCCTTAGAGCTCACAAGGGTCCTTAACAGACTTTACTTGTGCAGAGTGAGTCAGGTTCATTAATTCCCCTTGCTGTGCAATTAATACTTTTTTTTGGTTTTTTGTTTGGTTTTTTTTTTATATTTCTTCCTATTGGCAGACTTGTCTCCATGTAAGTCTTATTCTGACTGGTGCTCTCTACAGACAGCTCTTAAGGAAACAAATTCAAGTTCCTTAGTGTATGAGCTGAGAAGTATAATTTAAACAGGACAGAGGCCAGCGATGAAGAACTAGCCAGATCCCTTTGGGTTCATTTCTAGATATTAACGTTTCATTCTTTGATAGATCATGTTGTTCCTACAGAGAGACTGCAATACTGTGTGTCCATGTATTGGCTATTTGTCAACAGAGAAAAACAGAGTTGACTTTTATGATAAAGTTCTATGACTTTTTTAGCACCTATTCTAATGACTGGTGTTCTGCAAATTTTTGTGAGAACTGTCATCTGCTCCATTAATGCAGTGAAGTGGTAGAGAAAAAATCAGAGAGATTAAAGACAACCAATGTTTCAGCTCAGTCAGAGCCTCACACAACATCCTGAGAAGCAGGAACTTTTGCCTGTATCTCTTTTACAAGTCTGATGACAATATGCATTGCAGAGGAGGATATAAACTGCTCACTAAAGCAACTGTTCTCAGCTCTGCAGGCATGTTTATAATGAAACATCTGCAGCTCTTCTGCAAATCTCTAAATATTTTTCAATTACAACGTCTTAAAGATTTGAATCAGTCCTAATGAGTTGGCACAATATCATATTACGTTGTACTCTATATCACTATGAAAAGAATTCAAATTAAGTGAAAACAAAATCCCTCGATCTCCCATCATAGAAACAAAGACACAAAGACCTGGTAGTGTGGTATCAGCTACAGTGTGGGTTCACTTTAGTATTATTATTTCTTTTCACACATGCACCAAACTTCTCTGCAGAAAGTTGGATATAAAGACTCCATAGGAATATTGTTTCTTTCTTCATCCAGAATTAGAAATGTACAAATCTAGCACATGAACCAGATGAATTTTAGAGCTCATGAACACTTGACTACTTTGTGTGGAGCTCATTAGGTATTAAAATACTCTCAGGGTGTTTATGTAGAATGTTAAAGGTAGGAACACACATGAGTATGTGCCTATACTGATAAAAAATATATATGATCAAGCTGGTTTTTTCTTTAAAAGGCTTAAACTTACTGAATCATTCATCTGTCTGATGTCAACAATACCTCTATAATGAAATTAAAATAATTTATTAACAGTGGGATATGTATGCTATTTCCTACCTCACTATTATGTTTTGTGATTTCGATAGCATTTCTTTTTACATCTGACAAAACACCATCACTAACTAAAAGTCAAATTTAACATTTTCATTTCATGCACAACTTCCAATGAAAGGTCTTCACAGTTGGAATGGAGTATTTTGTCTGCTTAATTACTGTTGTTCTTCAAAACTCACCAATCCATGGTTTGGATGGATTTGTGTAAGACTAGTCAGTAAACACCCAATTAAGCAGGCTGTGTGAATCTGCATATAGATTTTACATTAGGATTCTACAGTCATTTCAAATGAGTCAGAAGTAATTACATGACTGACACATGATGAATCAATATGTATGCATCAAGCTGCCAGACATATAACACGTATCAGTAACAAGAATGGGATATATGCCAAGAAATAGTATGCATAACACTACCCAGAAACAGAATAGTCAGTGATGGGTTTGCACATAGAGTAGTAATTACCTGTGCATGCAGGTTAACTTTCAAGCTAACTGCTTTTTACTTATCTTGATTGGCACACACAAACTGGCAGAATCTGCTCTCACCAGATGTTATGTAAATATTGTGACATTCAATTATGGGCAAGTGAACAGTTAACTTGGTCTGGTTGGGTTGTGCAAACCTCTCCCCTCCTCTGAACAATCCATACCAACACCGAAACAAAAGCCGGTCCTCTCAAACCAGAGTAAAGGTTTGCTAGAGCAGGGCTGAAGCACCCGGGTACATCCACCTCAAGGCTGTGGCTGATGTGGGTCCCATCACTGTCCTATTAGCTCATAGTAATATTGTTGTTCAGTCTAAAAGAAACTGTTTTGCTTTCCAGATCAATTTATTGGGGGAGAGGAGAGAGTTAAGTGGTGAAAGGACAGAATCCCATCACAGGCACACATGGTTTGTTTCAGTCGGGGTTACATTCTCTCTTAGTCCACTTATGTTACAAGGTTAAAATGGAGTAGCATGAAATATTTTCATAACATCTTGGATTTTTAAGTGAGGAACATGTGCTACACAAAATTAAAGAAGGACACCAAGAAGATTAAGTACTTAAAAAAGGGGAGGAGGTGGGAGGGTAAGTGCAACCTTCGAGGAAAAGGGAGCGAATCCAGCATGAAAAACAGGCTAAGAGGACAGCTCTGTGTTCCTGGAATGCTTATTACCATTTGAGAGGGATGACAGCAGTTACAAAAACAAAACACGAAAAACAAAGCAGAGCTATGAACAAGCTGAACATCTCCCTGTGTATCTACATAATGACAGACACACACTGCCACACAAGTGTAGTATCAAAGATTATTTCTTTTGAGCTAAGATGACATGGTTTTTTCAGACTGGTGTTTTCCATAGCCAAGAGTAGTACAGTTGCAGAGCTGGCTTCTCCTCAAGCCAAACTGACAGTGCCACAAAATTCAAAAGGCACCATTAGAGTACACCAGCAAAGTGTCAGACACCATTCAGCAAATGAGAAACCCATGTGATAAAGTGCACATTTTCTCAAATCCCCCCAAAGTGCGTGAAGTCCTTACTGAAACTAGGGCCTAGGTAAACTCCTGACAACCTCTTCCGTATCCATGCTAGAAACAAACATCTTCCCCCAAGCCGAAACAGGAAAATAGAGGCTGTTGACTGACCTGAATTTGGACCTCACTCTCAAAACAATCCTTCCACTTGCTCTGTGATGGGGTCAAGGTCGATGTCATAGAAACTTGGCCTTGTAGGAAGTCCTGGCATGGTGCTCATCTGTGGAAACAATGAAATTAAGTTATACTAGTGCACCTGTAAGCAGATAATCACTCCACCCATGTAAATCTTAGATTAAGAGAGAAAGGCTGGATTGTTCAACATGGACTCGTCTGCAGATGTGATCATTACCACATTTTTTGTTTTTGTTAAAAATGTCAAACTTGGTATTTTTCTGATTAATTTTTAAGTATGAGCTTCCAAAAGACAGGAAAGAGAAAACAAAAGCCACAAAATACAGGCTAGAATAGCAACCTGACAATAAACTCCGTAACAGAATGAAAACCCTGGGACTTACTTGTTCTTCAAAATATTTATCCAGAACATTTGTCCATTTATATCTCCTGAAAAAAAATCACACAGCAAAGGGCAAGGACATAATTGTCTGAATTTACCCGGTGATACAAATTTGTTGAACTCAGACCTCTCCCACAGAAAACCAGAACAGAGAAGCAGAATTAATTGCAACACTTACCTAATGTAAGGAACAAATTGAAATAGTTCAACTAAACATACAGGGATTACAGTTGAATCCTAATTTAGTAGTTAGAATTAGAAGGTTGAGATATGAAGCGAAAGCAACCCAATTATCTCAAACTATGCCTAATTAAGATCCTGATCTAGCATAAGACACCAGCATCTGCATACTTTTAAACATGTGAATAGTTTCAGGGACTTAAATTACACGGATAACTACAGCTCTGCTCACGCTACTTATAACTATTATATGAAATTGGCATTTCAGCAGCATTTAAAGACACGAGGGTGACATGGAAACCTTGAGGTGCTGGTCCACAACAGTTTAAGCCACTTTAAATCAGAGGTACCCCAGCTTCTCAACTCCCTGCCTCAGGACTCCCCACTTCTCCCTTGCAAAGGAGATGTCTGGAAAGCAGGTTTGGCAGAATAGTGCTGAGTTTTGATCTGCTTCTTCTCCTCCTCCAGTTTCAGCACCTTGAGCCAGGAAGGGCTTGCCTGTCACCAGTGCCAGCACTGGCATAGGGTAAAGGTTGTGACTGTGGGGCAGTTTTAAGGCAGGACTGGTTTGGATCAACCTGGATCACTTTGGATTCAAACTCTTAGTCTTCCTAAAATGACAATTAGAAGCTGTGAATATCTCACTGTATTTCCACTAATTCAAGGTACTCTAAAAATGGCTCCTTAAATCTTTTCGACATCTTAAGCTCACAAGTGGAGAATGGCCCTGCTATATTAGGTCCTGTAGTAATACCTAAATTGATGAAAGACCTTACAATCTCTGGAAACAAACCTGGAGTTCAACTTAGCTCGACCGTTTGTTGGCTAAGAGTCTTTAAGCATTTAAACTTATTTAAGAGATGCTAGATTTTGAGGAACAAACTTTTAGCCAGGTCATGTCAGCAGAGCTCATTAAAATTGGTGGTTAACCTGACCACAGGATGTAACCTTCAAACATGGCTGTATAGAAAGAAAAATATTACACTGGCTTGAGTACCAGAAACACTCCAAACTTAATAACCTACAGAAAGAGTCAGATTAGGGTATGTTTTCACGATGTGAGCTGAAGCACATTGCTGAAAGGGGACAGTTTCACCCTGTGAACCTCTGGGATGATTCCCCCTCTTACTGCAGCCAGCCTTATTCAACACACTGAACTGATGTAAATACATGTTTTTGTGGGCAGGGTTGGTTGGCTGATAAATTGAATCTGTTTGTTGCATGACCAGATCACCACCAGGCCACTGGCTGCAGGGGAGCAGCCACAGTACGCTGCGGCCAGCCATCACCTCCACCTTTCCAGCAGAGAGCTCAGGGCTGGGCAAATTCCTCCCTCCATCCTTCCTAAATCCCTAAGAAGCACAGCTCAGCTACATCTTTTCTCTGGCCAAAGGCAAGCTCTAACAGGCTAATTGGCCTCAAAAGAGGAAAAACACATGACCACCATCCTAGCTCCTCCAGAGTGCCAGACTTAAAGGCCCCCCTTGCTCTGGATCAGACTGCATTTCTTTATGCTAACCTGATCTGCTGCGTATTCAGAGATGGGGTTAACGTCTGCCTTATGCTTCAGCTTCACTCCAAACACTCACGTAATGTCTCTACGTGGAAATACAAGCAAACTGTAATATCTCAGCACCACAGTCCCATTAACTCCAGAGAGCTCTACTACCATTTCAGAGGTTAATCTCATGTTGAGAAGGGGGAAAGGAGCCTCGGGGAGCTCAGTACTGGTCCAGCCATCATCTCACTTGAGATCTAGTTCTGAGAAAAAACAATGCAACAAGCTCTTCTAGTGGACTCACTACATTTCCTCTGTTTTTTAAATATAGTCCTTCCTGATGTTTTGTTATTGTGTGTAGTAGGATTAAAAGAAAAAACTGTCAGTTTACATTGACCAAACCCTGCCTCTGATTGCATGACATCATTTATTGGCTGACATTGCCTTAGCATTTTAGCTAAGTACTAAACCACCTTGCTACTATTCTTTATTCATTGGCCACACTAGGTGGACTACTACATTATTAGGGTTACTGAATTACTTTCTGTCTCAGATTCCTTCTGGTTTCTGAGTTAATGCTTGACAAGGAACTGCCTTAATGAATTACATCTCACTGGGAGGGGAAGGAACAAATTGCCAAAGACAACTTTCTGGTTACTCTGTGTATGGCAGTTTGACAACTGAAAGTAAACTCCCAAATTCCAGGTTCTTCTTTTCTTTCTTTCTTTTTTTTTTTTTCCTAATATAGATACTTTACGGGAGTTTTTCCCCATTTTAAAAAAAGAAATATTAAGAACAAAAGCCCTACATACATATTTTGGATTTCTTTTTTCTTTCACAGGCCTAGTTCTACACCAGTGTAAGTTCTCTGTATTAACTAACGGCAAGCTATTACATGTATAAAATGTGAATATCAAATCAGTTTATTGCTGGTTCAGGGAACACAACTATTCTCAGATTGAAAATTTAAGTCAACAAAAGGGAATGGGTTCATCTGAATTAAAATTACTGCTTGATAAAATGAAGTACAAGTTAAAAACAAAAAAACAAACACAGAAAAAACACTTTGGAAGAATACTTATGTGAATTACAGAAAAACACATACTGTCATTTTCCCCATGGCCCAGACTTCCAAACAGGCAAAGCCATGTAGATTTATGATCATTACTCTCTGCTCTCATTATCTGGATGTACAGAGGTAATGTGGAGCAGAATCTATCCTTTTTTCATTACTTCAAGGTCAATAGGAGGAGATGGCTGGCTGGCTGAGGAGATTACTACTGATTGTTCCCTCTATAGCCCTCCATTTCTTTCCTTCAACCAAACAGGTAGGAAAGAAAAGAGGGCTCAGTCAGCTGCAAGGCTGAATCGAGGTTTCAGCTGACTGGCTTTCCACATGGAAAATGTGGCTCAGAATGATCCTCTTCCCTCTCACCATTTTCCACAGTGCTGGATGAAGGCATTAATGAGTGAGTACACAGGCTGCTCTTTACTTCAGTAGGCATGACCCAGAGGCATCCCTTTCCCTGACCTAAGTCAGAGCCTAGATTTCTGTGCATGGAGGGGAGATGTTAACCTGCCCCCCAGCTGTAGCACATAGTGCACCTGCACAGAAGCTGGCAGACTACGTCCACCTCTCCAGGCTTTCTTGATAACTACTTAGGAGATAACTACATACTAAAATTACTTCAGTTCTAAAACTTGAAAAAAATTGGAACGAACAATGAAAGAGAAAATGTGCCTAAAACATAAATCACTTTGGTAAGTAGCAGGTATGTACAGCATGAAAAAACCCCACAGAAATTTACAGTCCTACAGTAGCTTGCTAGGCATCTCATAAAACATACACCCTCTATATACTGCATGGAGATCAGCACAACTCTCCACTCTAATATAACAACATTTGGGTTATGGATTGGTAGCTATGAAACATTGCACAGCATGGTTTTGAAAAAAGAACAGGGTTGGAAGCAGCAAATGACAGCACATTATCCACTGAAAACCACAGACTAAATTTAGATAGCTGAAATAATCAGTATTTAATTTGACCAAAACTGCTGCTATTACACTTTCCCTGGGAGAAGGAAAATATAAAGCATAAACTTTGTACCTTAAGACTTTATGCAATTCATATGAATGCTTTATGCAAGGAAAAAAAAAAGGTTTTACAAAGAATTCATCCAGTTGCTGTCCAATATATATCATTTACGAATTAACAGGAACTAGTTTTGTAGGAACTCATGGGATAAACCATTTTTCCTACAAACTGTGCAACTGTCCATGCATCCATGAGAGTGAATCAAATGCAGAGAGGTGATGTGAAACATACATTGCCTTTTTATTACTATGGGACTCTATGTTTAGGAGGCAAAAGGAGCAAGTCTTAGGGTCAGTTTATCCTGAGGATAATTTATGCTCCTGGAAATGCACAACTGGTGGAAGATAAACCACAATTTTAGTTAAGAATGCCTGAAAGCTACTGTTATAGTAAGCATTTGTGATCTTTCAGAAGTTTATTTACATGACTGAACGAAAATGCCAGTTATTTTCTAGGAAGCCTTACAAAAGTGTTGTTCCATACCCTCTCCAAGAACACATCCACTGTCACTGAAAGAGTGACTGAGTTTCACTTAAATTACAGTTATGTGTTGACTTGTAACTTTAGTTGGCCATAGGATCTACGTAAAAGTTACACAGCACCATGTAAAAACACGATAAACGTGTCAAGCACCAAGACTCTGCTAGACATGTTTGTTATGGTCCCGAGAAGAACTATGCTGCTTAGCTTCCTTTTTTATCATACGAATGCCCATCAGTCATCGACATATCCTGCCTTTAAGTGTGTGTCCATCCACCTATACATATACATATATATTATTTATCTACAAGAAAAATCCTTATAGAACCTCAGATTGCCTTAACTGAGTTAGCACAATGGCATGGCTTGCAAAACAGATGGTCTTGAGGACTATATCCAACTCATGTTTAGTGTCTTTTTCCCCTATAAGACAAGATGTGTCTGTTT